GGAGAGACACACAACAGCGTTTAACGGCTGTCATCACAACCATGGTGAAACCAACACACAGGGAGAGACACACAACAGAGTTTAACAGCTGTCATCACAACCAGGGTGAAACCAACACACAGGGAGAGACACACAACAGCGTTTAACGGCTGTCATCACAACCATGGTGAAACCAACACACAGGAACCACGGCCACATTTTGAACCACGCTCTTGGGTCGCCTGTCTTCAAGACATTTGATTGGTTCTGCTGCTTCTTGTAAAGTTTATTGGTGGTTTGCAAAAAAAGGTGTGCATTATGGACGTGTAAAAAACAACAACAACAACAACAAAAAATCTTGCAATGCTAATGATACGGAAAACAAACACACTCCAAGATAAGATTTTATAAGGAAACACTTACCAGACAACTTCACCCTGGTGCCAACAAATTCCCATAGTGCTGCCTTTTTTACTAATCACTTTGTGAAGTGTCGTATAAAAATGGAAAGTTTGACAGAGCGATAGCTAACTGTAGGGTGTAGCATACTCTCCTCTCATTGGTCAGTCAATGAAACCCTTGCTGATTGGTTGTAGCGCCATGTGACAGCGAAAAAAGTTCACCATTTTTCAACTCTTCTATGAGAGTCACAAGCTGTGTTTCCATCCAAATGTAAAAATGAAGAAATGTGAATCAGACATGTTTCCATCAACTGGCTTGAAGTGAATCAGTTGCGTCAGACACGTGTGTGTGCCGTAAACAGGAAGTAAAGTCACTTCTCAGGAAAATGGAGAGAAGTTATCAGGAACGTGTTGCTACTGTCAGGAAGTTGTAATTATTCTGTCATCAGCTAGTTTTGGTGATGTTACATGCAGTCAGGAGATGTAGAGGAAGTAATGCAGTTCTTTTCACGTTACGGGATTAACTGAGAATACCCCGACAGTGTGATGAGGGTCCAGCTGCACTCGCTCTGGTACTGGGACCAGTTTCAGACAGACAGCAGGAACAGCTGATCAACATGTCAGGTAAATGTTCACTACGTCAGACCTGATTCTAAAAACGTCTTTCCATCTCCTTTTTGCACATTAACTGTTTTTAGAAAAACCCAAAAACCACCTGAAGTGAGCGTATCAACTCTGATGTGAGTTAGAGGATATTTTTTCCAAATCAAGCCGTTTCCATCCACCTCTTCTGATGCGATACGTCAAAATGCACATTAAAAACCTTGATGGAAACACGACTACAAGCTGGCGTGTGCACGTCTGCATGTACGAGCAGGAGAAAGTCACTAGCATGAGTTTCACCAGTGGCTGGGCTGGAGAAGTGATGGTCGCCTCATTGCACAAGCTCCATAGGAACTGAATGGAGAGAGTGGTGTTGAGCCCATTAAAGTCTGAAGTTCCTAACAAGGATTGATCTTACAGACTGCAGCTTTACCCTCTGACCTACCACATCAGGTGCACAATCAGGTGCTACAGATTTCCTACAACATTAGCCAGGATGTCCCTTCAGTTTTCTGTTTGGGCCTGCTCTGTCTTCTCATTTCAACCAACAGGATGTGTCCATAGAGCAGAGCATACTGTTAGCAGCTGATTGTTCCAGTTATTGCCAACAGGGGAGAATTGATTTTTATAATGAAGGATGTTAAAAAGGTTAGACAGCTCCTGTTTCACAGTCAACTCTGTTCTTCCACCTGAGAGGAGGAGGAGCCACACCAGTCATGGTGAGGGATTTCACAGTGAACCATGGAGACAGAAGTAAAGCAGACTCAAATTCAGCTCAGCAAAGCTGTCAGGAAAAAAAACAAACAAATCTAGACCTTTGGACACAAACAGTTTGATAAAACAACTAAAAAAACCAAACCGGTTTCTGAGGTCAAAGAGTTGGCTGCAGGAAACGACTGCAGAATGATTCCTGAGCTCCAGCTTCCTGTCTCAGCAGCCTCAGCAACCGGTGACCTTTTTTATTAAGTCCTGCTTTATTATTAATAAACACAAAGTAAGCTCAGCCTCTATAACATGAGACAGTGCATTAGTGACTACGTCATTTCAGACATCTTTTTTTCCCACAGTGTTCACAGCTGGACTGAAGACGTGGTGGGGTAAATTATGAGTTTCTTCCTCTGCCCTCCTAATGTAGCACAGCTCATAGCTGAGCAGAAACAGTGATGGCAGGATATACAGTTTCACTCCATGTGTCGGTGTGTTGGCTGAGAAACCTGAGGAGGAAAAACTGGAAAGAAGGCGTGAACTTCAGGTGCACGTTCACTATGATGAAACCAGCTTCTCCTCTAAGCTTATCTTAATAACATAATAAATTTAAGAACTTCTGAGAACTGATCGTTTTCAGCAAAATGACATGTAGGACACTCACCCTGCCATGTTCTGCACGAACAAGCACGCCCACAAAGCTCTGACCAATCAGAGGCTGCGAGCCACAGGTGTGCAGGAGAGTTCTGACTGGAGGTGATGCAGACGACAGGCCGTCACCGAGACGTGCAGCTGAAAGGCTRCTCAAACTGTGAACGTTCAGCCAGGTGATGTTTGGAAAGGACAGGTGGTTCTCAAACACTTCACCTGGATAAATAAAGGTTGAATTAAAACATTAAAAACTAAGAAGGCTTTTGGATAAAAGATGAAACGTTTTTGATCCAACCTTGTTAATTATTTTTCTTTTCTGTGAAGCAACGTCAACAGATGTTGAGTGTTATCTAAATGTTCTGGTCCAAACATCAGTCTCCTCCTTCTTCTCCACCATCATGAATGTGCTGCTCAGGATGGAAGGTTCTGAAGAAGTCCAGATGCAGCACCACCTGTGGTCTTCCTTAGAAAGATAAGCCTGTCACAGTATAACAGTTTACAGATGTTACGATGTAGGAAAACGTCCGACACCCTGGATAACACTGAAGATGAAATGAAAACTATCAACTGGAATCTTTTGAGCGTAAACATCTGTCCTGTTAATGAGTTGAWTGAATGTATAACCTATAAGTATCTTATACACAACTTATACAACCATATGACAACATTTTATGCCTTATTGATGAAAGTTTGGCTCAAGTTAAAAAACCCACTGTCCTGTGTTTATATAGGGAGCACAGCATATTGTGACGATCATGTGACTTCCAATCAGATCGCTCTTTAGTGTTTGGTAGAAACTTTACTTTTGTAGGCAGAGGTTGTCTAAAACATAGTCTGACACGGCCTGAAGAGTTTACTTATCTTTACACGAGTAAACTATTGCWAATTCCAATGTAAGGTGTTTTAATCCTGACACCACTGGGTGTTTAATAATTTCTCACATGTTCTTGTGACTTTGACCTGTTTGGTTTTTCAGTGAGTTCAAACAGAACCGTTCAGTGGTGTTAAGTTAGGAGTTAGGTTTTCTGTCCCCATCCTGCTTTATTCTGAGTAAAGCTGTCATGTGACCACCCAGAGAAGATTCATTTGTTTGGTTTTTGTTTGTTTTTAGGGAGGACCAGGTGAATTTCAGAGGCTTTATGCGCACCTTGGCTCACTTCAGGCCTATTGAGGACAATGAGAAGAACAAGAACCCCCCCGCCACTGAGCCCCTGAACAGCAGGGCCAACAAGCTGCTCTGTAAGTGCAGCGCTGCATTACACAACCTGGTTCTGATCCGATCAGATCCTTACACAACCTGGTTCTGATCCGATCAGATCCTTACACAACCTGGTTCTGATCCGATCAGATCCTTACACAACCTGGTTCTGATCCGATCAGATCATT